AAAATTGTTGTTGAATCGTTGTTGTTTATTCCTCGCTACGCTCACTGTGTTGGCTTACGGTACTAAACCGATTTCATAAAGGGGAGAGGTGATAGAAGTGCAGGTGGGTCGTCAGCATCATCCAGGTTTTCCTGCCTAGAGCGAATCACAACGACCCACTGATCCACTCTATTCTCTTTGCTTATTCATAGTGCGCTGACCCAATTTGAACCCAAACCTCAAGTGCCACCATTAGGATTAATTTCTAAATAACTGAATTTCTCTCAAAAATAAGCCCTATTCTGAATTACTGAAATTGCTAACATTTTTATCCACAAGCACGTTGACTATGGACCCCGTAATGATTGAACTGACTGGCTGAAGTATTCCATTACAAATGGCGCATATCGCACCAATAAAAGCCAATAATTTCTCTCCAAGTGTCGCATATTTGAACTAAGAAAAGTTGAAAAAAGTAAATAAAAATAGGCTAAAGATTTGCAAAAACACCCTTAAAAATATAAGTTAAAATAAGCAAATTATAAAAATTATTTTCAAACATTCGATAATATTATAAATTTTTACTCGCACCTAATAATTACACCAAAAATTCACCAATTGTATTACGGAGATCGCCTTCACAGATGAGCTGCTTTCTGATTTCCTAAAAAATTTATTCAGTGAACTATTTTTTCTTATGGAGTATGAACTTCATGGTTCATTTGGAAGACATAATTAAGGATATTCGTACATTTGGATAGGAAAAATTTACAAACTCGCTAATCTTTAGCTATAAAATTAACATTTCTTTCGTTCGCTAGCAAACGTTGGTAACCGTAAACTATAGCAGTGCGGTGATTCTTCATTACTTTAAGAATTCATAGATATTTTTACATGGAATTATATAATCCTCCACATGTTAATTTATTCATTGAAGACCACTGTATAGGTTTTAAGATTGGATCCATAGGCTTCAAAAAACTTTCAAAGGAAGTCAGAGGAAAAAAAAGGTTTGATTAATATCTTTCTTTTCCAAGAGCGCACTATTTTTGGTTATATTTCGCTCCACCGGCTTATCGCAGCAGATCCGAGCAAATAACTAGAAAGTCATTTGGCGACAGAAATATAAAAGCTCAGCTGTAGACACTCGGAAATGAGATCTCCGTTCCGCTCTCTCTTATATAAATAAAAATAAAATCTGTGGTTATCCGCTGGGAAAAACTTACAATTGACGATTGAAAAATTTCATGGAAGAGGCTGCTTCCTTCAAATGTCCAATGACTAAGTGTCATTTGACGGTGATTTTCTTATGCTATTCGAAGAACAAACATTGCGAAACTTGGAAAAGGATGGTGAAATGGTGAAATGGTGAAATTTCTCGAAAACTCTTTTTTTCAAATTTAAAGTAAACAATATGAAAAATTCTTAATGAGGAAACATAAAGTGATAATAAATTCATAATTGTTGATAATTATTATTGATAAAGTAAAGAAACAGGAAGATTTAACGAGTCGAAAATTTATCTCTCTTATTTAGAAGGCTTATAAGGTTTATGAAGAGTTCTATGAATTTATCAGTTAACCTCTATAAATTGTTAATTTTTGTCGTATTTTCCTTTCCTTTTTTTTATTATTATTATTATTTGCTATTTTACCAGTTGTTATTAATATAAGAGCAAGGCGTTTGTCGCCCCGTTTGGCTGGTTTTCAATAAATAAATAAAGCAATTAATAAAATAGCTTAAATATTAAATATTCGCTACATTCGCTTGGACACCTAGAAACAACCTAAGCTAATCACCAGTGGAGCTAACAAAACCAACAGTGGTGTGAGCTTATAGAAGAAAAATAAGGCATTTGCTATAAATAGTAAAAATTGAAGAGAAATCGAAAATATTTGGAAAATGATATTTACTTACGATTGTAAGAGTTTTGTTTTTTCAAATTTTTTCGATGATCGTAAACCCATCTGAAAAAAATAAAATAAAATTAGTAAATTATTATTAAAAATATTTATGAAATAAAAATATTAATAAATAGCATTCATTTATACCATATTCATTTCGGAATTTTTGTCTAAAAAATTTCATAATTTCATCAAATTTTTTTATCAAATTGATGACTAAAAACTGATAAAAATATTGATAAAGGTTTAGTTGACTTGTAACTTAAAGATTATGAAATATTATTGTTCAGTTATATTTGTTTTTTAATATTTATTATTGAACTTTACAAAAATATAATAAAATATAAAAATAACATTTGTTATTAGAATATCCGAACTCTTCTATTATGCTTACTGATAATAAATTTGATTTTATATGCTCAGAACTTTTCATCGATACGTGTCTAATCATAGATACTTCAATACAGTCCAAATATACAGTGCATACTCAAACGGTGAAATATCCTATTGTACTTACGTATAGCTTAAACCCGGTATTTTACGCTTAAGGCTTGGCATCAATGCTTAAATTTCTTTTTTTAAAGGGCCCTCACCATTAATGGTTAGACTCGCTCCGCTGGCTTGTCGCACTGGACAAATATGCCCAGGGAGTCCTTCAGAACTACAACTACAGGTGAGTCGCCAGCATCACTCCGTAGATAAGATAAGTCATATATGTCAATTTATGCTTAAACCTCGAATATATATCACACTATGCTTAAATATTTTAAAATATAATTTAAAATAATTATTTTTAATAATTTCAGAAAACTTCGCCAAATTTTAAAAATTTGAAACTTCGAAAAAAAATTTAAAACCTAAAAATTAACTAAGTGAAGAGAAAGCAAAAATTGTAATGAAAAAACTATTATTATTACTAATTAATAATTTAATTAATAATTTAATTTAATAATTTAATTAAATCGCAAAAAAGAAAATAAAAATAATTAAAAATATTAAAATAAAAATTATTGAAAAGAATGATTGATTGTTTGTTGGCTTTTTGGTGAAACATTCTTCTTATCAATTTCAAATAAAATTTATCATTTGCATTAGTATATATTTCGAAATTGTTTCCTCTGCTTCAATTGTATTTTAATCAATTTTTTTTCAATAAATTATCATTTTTGAGGAAATTTATCATTTGATTAATGAATTATTGGCATTAATAACGACGAATGTATTGCTTGGATTATCATTTGGTGCCAAGTAGAAATCAAACTTATCGTTAAAATAACCTAGAAAAATTTGAACAATGCTGAGAACAAATGTATTAACTGCAAATAACCCGCAGATCTCAATTAAAATTGTCCTACTAATAACCAGCAGTGCGAAACTACTAATCTAAAATGGTGGCCACTGAGACCGACCTGCATCTCTGTTGCCGAGTAAATCGCTGTCAAAGGGTCAGCAGTCGGGCAGATAAACTGTAAGTATTGTTAGAAGAAGTAAATCTTCAATCAACATTATAAATTCACATTTACCGCTGAGTTTTCAGCTCACCGTTTTTCGTTATGCTTTGTCGGACCGCACAAATTTTGTCGTGGAGTCCACATGGCGATGGGCCATATTTAAGCATCAGCCGAATTTTCGGAGGGCAAGTTCTCCTTCACCGGAATTATAACACAAGCATTCCGGTACTCCGCAACAGGGCATTGAGCCATTCTATCCCAGTACTGCCATATATTTATATAGCATGGATCCTATCTTATGGGCATGATGTAACCAAACCCCAAAAACGCCAGGCCAGATCACTTCCAGACCAATCACAATTGCACCTTCCTCCTTGTGATACAACCTTTACTATATTTGTAGTTAATCGTGTACAATCAGATATAGAACATATAGATCGTCTTTGAAGCTTATCCGACAATTAGCAATGATATTCTAAAACGCAGTCATAAGCGATGTAAAATTGATTGTATCTCGAGCTTTAAACTCGAGTTTTCTAGCGATTTGTATTTTTTCTACTTTCAAAAGGTTACTCTCTATTTAATTTTCGAGTTTTTTGTTATAAACCTATATTTCCTCATTGAATTTCCGATTCAAATCTTTCAAAGAAATTTTCTCTCTTACAAATTTATAAATGGACAGTTTATTTGAAACGAAATCGCTCCGCTGGTTTGTTGCACCAAACAAATTTCGCAGTTCCATGGAGTTCCTTAATGGCAGAAACGTATGTGAATCGTCAGTATGTGGCCTGGCCTTGGGGAATGCGGGTTTTCTTCTGCGAGGAGTAGAGAGACTTCGGCATCGGCACGAGTGGAGAGCAACCCCCATTGAGCTGTGGTGCCACCTTCGACTCGACTTGTGGTAGCTTATTTATAGTCAGATTTGTGGAAGAATTGAGAAAGCACCGCCTCAATTTAACCTGTCGAACCAGAAGGATTTCGAAGGATTTTTTTCAAGAATTTTTTTTTTCTTCATTTCGATACTTTGCACCTATTTTGCGGAAACGGATTTACCATTTAGGAGATTCGTATGACAGTTAGGATGGGATAGTTCTGCTGGAGGAGCATAGAGGCGCATCTCTGTTAAATAACTGCCAGTCGGGTTTCACTTTTAATGGCCACACTTTGTATTACTGTTAGATGGTCAGATGGAGTTTCTACTTATTCTCAGTTAAATCGACCCTTTTCTCGCTTCTATCTCTGCTTTTTCATGTTTTTTTATAGTTGTTAAGCAGTTCTATTTTTAAAGTTCAGTTTTAGATGTACAAATGAAGTCTTCGTTTTATCGTTGGCAACGACATTGTCATTGCTGACAACAATGTATTTATCATCGCGCATTATCGAAGTTCGCTTGGGCCAAATTTCGAATAAAGATTTCAAGTAATTTATTTTCTTTTCTCTTTCAAATCCATTAATCTTAAGTAGCACACTTGAGGATTACTTGGATTGTTTCCATTTGATTTGTTCTTTTTTAATGTTTAATCATTTTGTTTAATCTGTAGTAATGTGACGATAAGACATGTTTATTGACGAATGAGACCTGTTTTTTTTTTAATTTTTTTTCTTCAATTCTTGCCGAAATATTCAAAATTTTTTAGAAATAAATTTACAATTAGCGTAAAATTGGATGGTATTTTATTGTCGTTTCAGTATTCAATGATATACTGGTTTATGATTTATATATTTGTTTTTTTGCACTATCAAAAAATTCGCTTTTTGACGTTTCTGGTTTATAAATATGTAAATTTCTAATTTATGCAAGTTAAATAGTTCATAAGAAATTTAGACATTTTTAAATGTTGCGAATATCCTTGGCATTTTTAAATTAAGCATTCAATCCTTGCAAAATGGCGCGTTCGCATATTTATTTAGAAATTTTGTTTAGCTTTTTTTTCTAAGCAAACCGATTTTTTTAATAAAAATTTTTTAGATTGGTTGCTTCGAATTTTAATAGTAAATGGTGTTTTTGATATATTTCGTGAAATATGACGACTATATATAGTTTACCTGTCGAAATTCTTATTATTATTTTCGGAAAATGTGATTTAATTTCGTTGCTGAATTTAAGGCAGGTGAAAACAAAAATTCTCTTTGCAATTTTTCGTACTTTTATATTTTCCTTCTATTTCATAAGGAATAATGAAACCAAGCTTCCATTTCATTTTTATGTTATATATGTTTTGATTTTTATTTTCAATAATATTATTTGAATTTGCAATGATTCTTCGTATATGATTTCAATTATTATAAAATTTTGTTTCAATTATTATAAAATTTTTTTTCAGGTATCTGTTTTATTCAAAGTTTTGGTGGAACATGTATTATCGATCCGAGTCAAACTTAATATTACTTCTGAATATTTTCGAATTTATGAGGGTTTTATTGTGAGTGATGAAAAAACGAGTGAAATTATCATTGACAAATTAATAAATTTTCTTCGAAATTATATGCCGAGTTTGCAAGAGCTATCGTTTCGCCATGCGCCTTGTACATTTACACTTTCTAATCTAATCCAGGTCTTCAATTTAATTCTTTTAAACATTGAGATTGCTAACATCATGTTTCATAGATTTTTAGGAGAGCGTAGTTATCGTGGTAATAATTTCTAACTGTGAGTAAAAAAATTTGGTTTATGATGTAGTTTTCCAGTAAGTTTTCCTTTCTTCCTTTATCTGCACGCAACATTTTTGATTTGATTTTTATTCTACTGCATATTAGAGTGAGGCCATTTCATTCTAGATTTAGGGCAGATGCCGCCAAGAGCCAAATTTAATTTTCTATCCGGCATTTAATGGCATTTTTATGCCTATCAAAAATAAATACAGTAAAATAATAAATTAAATAATAAATATTGTAAAAAACAAAGAATATTGAACAATTTATTCTTTGGCTGGCTTTTTTTCAGCTTGCAACAGTTGTACCAAATTTGAAAAAATTGGATATCAGTCGATTGGGGAATTGGCCTTTTTTTGAAAAAGGTGCTGTACTGGCTTTACCTTATTTTCGAAAATTAACATCGCTTCGAATGGATGCTTTTCAAACGAATATTTGGCCTGGAAAGGGTAATTTTTTCTTAACCATGTTTGAGCTTCGGTGCTATTCATTGACATAGTGTTGTAGAAATTTAAATGTAAAAATGGTGGCCATAAGATAGAAATTATTCCTTTGTGAATCTTTTTTGTGAATTTTATTTTTTATTTTATTGTTTAATAATAGATTGAAAAATTTAATACAATTTATTTTTGTTAAGGATGTGCATATCGTATGGAAATTCTGCCGATACGCGAACTTTATAATTTGGAGACCTTCGAAATTGAATGTGAATTTGATACTCTGACAAAAATTTTGCATAAGATGCACGAAGCACAATTTGTCCTCTTCAGATTGAAGCGTATTAGCGTATGTTTCCAAAGATTTTAAATCCATCCACTTTGTATTCTAATCTAAAAAGATTTTTTAATCTAAAATCTTTTAAACTACTAATTGGAACTCGTTAGATTGTATGCTTTAGTAGCATAATGTATTATAATACTAATTTTATATAATTATATAATGTATTATAATACTAATTATTTTTTATCTTAAATACATACATTTACATTAAAATACATTTTTTCTTGCAATATTGAAATCTGTTTTTCTTGCAGTATTGAAATCCTAAATCTATTATAGAGGCATTATTTTTTTAATGATATTATCATATTGGAAAAAAAATTATACTGAGTTCGTACTTTTAGTTTGGCGTCAAGCGTTGTTCTGCGAATTTTTCGGAGCTTCTTATATGGTTTCTTAATTCACATAGATCGCTTCGTTTCGTAAGAATATGTAACGCTCTTTTTACTACATCTGATCAGTTGCGACGATTTTACAGGTTTGAAACAAAAATATTCGTTGATATCGAAAGTTGCCAGAGAATAGAATCGGTGGATTACATATCATTGAACTTATTAGTGGAAAAAAATAATTGAAGTGGTTATTTAAATTATTAGTCTGCTTCATGGCAAAAATGTCTATATCAGTTGGTTTTTTCTGAAGTCTCAAAATTTTTAACAATTTTCTGATTTTTCTGATTTCTCGTAAAGGAAAAAATAACCGGCTTAAAATCAACTGTAACAAGTTTTTGGTTTTTACTTATTGCTGGTCTTAGATCATTTTTCGAATCATTTTTTTTTGATTGATTGCTATTTTCATTATTATTTTCATTGAATTTATAATGTTGACTAGCTTTTTATTTCAGCAATTCTAGATTATTTTTATTGGTTATTGGCATTTTATAATTTTCTGGTTGTAGCGAAAATTAGTCTATAAAGTTTTTTTTTTGCAGCTGCTTGATTCTGTTGCCATTCTTATGTGAATTGCGATTAGATAACTGCACATCTTGTGATCGAATTGATTCCAACATGCAGACTCAATTCCGCAGAGCTTTAACTAATAAAGGTGTTGTTCAGTTGGGCACTGTGAGAAGTATGAGATTTGATCCTAATAGTATTTACTAGAATTTGAATGCGGATTTATATTTGAAATTAATTGTAACCGAAATTGTAAGTAACCGAAATTGAATTATCGCATCTAATGTATAACTAAGATTTATGACTTACTTTCTCTGATTTTTAGACTAAAAAGACTAGACAAACGTTAAATGACTAGACATACTTGATAATCACTCGTCTTCTCACAATATCAATATTTTTTCGCGGGTTTTTGTCATTTTCTAACTATTGTTCTAAAATTTATAAATTTAATTTATAGTACGCTAGTTTATGTATTATAAATATTGTATAATCTTTTATGGAATATTTTATTGGTGAATAATGAATGTTTTATTTACGAATGCTCAAATACTAGTTTAATGCTAATACTAATGCTAGTTTGCATAATTTAAAATAACTATGGTAAAGTTCTTTGTTTTTTTTTCACGGTTAGAACTTTTTGATAGTCATAAATAGTTGTGTAGCTTGTGTAGATTCTATTTTAATAAAGTGAATATTTAAAAATCTGCTTTGCATTCTGCTAACGATTGCATTTTTTAAATTAAAATTCAGTCGGAATCATTGTTGTTCAGAAAGTAGCAAAAAAATTTTTCAACTAATGACTTCGCATAAAGTTGTCTAATTTTGCGTCGAATCCGGAGAAAAATCTTATCCGAGCGCTCGGAAAAATCTTATCAACCAGAAAAATGGAGTCGGGTAAAATGATTGATATTGATAAGACGACTGGTTTTCACCGTACCATTGATAATATGTTTTATTTATTTAAGAATGGATTTCTTGCAAGAATCTATTCTATTCGAGAATTGACTAATTGGATGAGGTAATATTCGATATCAATCACAAAGATATATACGATCTTTTCGATTACTTATATTTGTTTATTACGCAGTAAATGCAATAAAACGAATTGTAACAGCATGCCGACATCCTAATCTTTATTTTTCTCAAAATAATTCACCAGCCGACTTAATAAATTGAGCAAATATTCTATTTTTCGCACCTATTTGATTGGAAGGCTTTCATATGCACCGCATAAAATATTTAAATTTCCACATGGTACCTTTGAAGATCCTCGACTTCTTTGGCTTAAAATAGCAACGATATAGAGGCTTGGAGTCGGCAAATATTCCTTAAAATCCGATTCCTATAGATCAGCCGGTTTTATATGTGAAAAGAGGTAGTCACCCTATGCATCAGAAGATTTTGATTAAAATTCACATGTGGCAATTCAACAGTTATTTAAAACATATTTCATATTGTCCTTAAGCAAGTAAGCAAAAGGTGCAAAAAGTCTTAATGTCAACTATCGACATATGGTAAATTTTCATGAGGAAGTCATTTGACGGTTGAAACTCGGCTCGTGATTCGTAAGGATCACGTGGATCTTTTGGAAATTGTTTTACTACTTCCGGAGAATATTATTATGGCGGTTTTCAAGTAGTTTGGATTGCTCTAGCGAACGAAGTGTTTTTTAAATGATTGTTTTCTGTGCTATTGTTTTCTTGTTTTTTGATTGCCTTGGGTTCATCCTAGCAGTGTTATTTCTGGTTTTAATGGATCTACTAGAAGGTTTCATCAAAGGGTTACTTGGAAAGGAGAGACAAGCAGGTCGCTTCCGGTCACCCAGATTTTATTTCAAAGTTCCATGCTAGAATTCCTTTGTTTCCACGACAATTCTATACTATATTGTTTTTTGTAAGTGGAAGAAATATTTTACAAGTTTCTAAAAAACGAATCTACGGTTTCTTCTTTTTTAGAACGATTCACTTGAAAAGTGTTTGATGAGTTAAATCGTTTTAGAAGAGATATAAGAGAGAAATTTTAGCATCGCTAAACCTGCTATGTAATTATTTGTGTATCGCTGTTTTATTGACGAAGTGCGATTGTTGCTTGAGCCGGTCGAGAGTTGGATGAAAGTCGAGAGCTTTCTAATTCACTAAAGTGATCGAAGTTAGTAGGCTTGTCAAGTGAGACGCTGAAATGTTTCTGCTTTATCCACTTGCTGTTACACGACGCTAAAACTCTTCGTTTCAACTATCAGCTATTTTGTCTAAGCTTTTCGAGATTTCGAGTCGTCTCTCGTCAACTCTTCCACAACTTCCCGAACTTTACGTATCTTTTAAATGTCTCGTTCATTTCTCTGTAATATTTCTATTTCTATACGTTCGAATTTTTTCTGTAAAAATTTCATTTTATCCTTCGATTTTAATTGATTTTTCGGAAAAAGGAAATTCTAAAAAATCTTTAAGGATTTTTAAGGATTTATGAGAGAATTTTATAGGAATTTTTGTAGGAATTAAAAAAGAAGTGCGCGTAAAACTTCGAAATTTTCTATTTACCTATTGTAGAAAATTTAAACTTTTAAAAGTTTAAACTGTTCTTTGTCTTTTTCGATAATTTATCGAGGAATTAAGCTTTGAGAAATAGCTGAAAGTTTTTTTGGTCGCGCGATCGAAATATTCCTAATTGTTCTTATAAGCCTTTTTTTATATGCTTTAGTTTATCCTTTTCTTCAAATAGCACAGATGGTATGGTCGATTCGGCGGTGAAATCAGTTCGCCAAGCCGAGTAGTTATTTGGGGACAAAATTTAAAGGTATAAATGGCTTCGCAAGTATCACCGAGATTTCGCCACAAATGATATTTTTACTGGTTGCAGCTTATTTGTGGGTATTTTCTGTAGAACAAAATATCAGACTTATAGAACAAAATACTTAGGGAATAATACGACAGTGCCTGGATTGGCAAGTCCCAACGCTTCCAGAAGCAACAGTTTAATTAACCAAAAAGATATATGTTAGCGAGTTTTATATGAAAATGTTGTTGACTCATGAATGACTGCATAACTGCTTGATATGTTTCATTTGATTTTTCTAGAAATATTTCTTTACTATCGCTTTTTTTTACTGGAAAATTTATTTGAATCTATAATATTTTTATGATCTAACAATTTAACTACACAGTTTCGACTCTTGTGATGAGTTCAATGGCTCCGTAAATGGCAGATTAGTTGCGAATACCGTGGCTTTGCTCTCCTTCTCTCATTGCGGTCCCATCAATTTTTTCCTTGTTCAATTCTTCAAAAATTTTCTCTTCTTAACCATTTTTCATATATATTACTAAAATTAATTAAACGTTGAGAATGAAATAGATCTATTTTTTATCTTTGAGGCCTAACTAATTAATTAAATGGCAGTATTTATATAGAATTTGCTTTTTTAGAAAACCTTTTTTTTACGTGAAGTTTCCTTTTCCTAAGTCAATTTCACGATGCTCAGTGATAATTTTATACGTTAAGTTGTTATCAGCAAAGTATGGCCCGGAAATTTGATTGACTTGCGTTCTCATAGATATGATTAAACGGTCGTAAGAGGCATTTAGTTCTCGTTTATCGTTCTGTTTAGTTTAGTAAAATTATAATTGCGTTACTAGATTTCCACAGATTCCATAGATTCAGTTTCTTTAAAAAATAGAAAAAAAAATTCTTTGAAAAAAATTATTGATAATTTTATACATAATTATTCAACGTGGAATTTATTTCTCTTGTGAATTTTATTTTTCGGCGAGCGAAATTATTCGAAATTTACCGCTATTCGATGTAAATATTGATACTTTTATCATTTGAATCCATCTTACATATTCTAAATTTTTGATGAATGAGATACGATGGTTGGTTGAGTTGCTTATTGCTTCTATTGATGATAAGCCAACATGGATTTAATTCATCTTCCATGCGAAGAGTCTCAGCACTATCGGAATTCTCCTATTTGCATGTTCTCATTTTAAAAATATTAGCGAAAAGATTTCATCTATTGACCATTGGGAGAAACAGAAGTGATGCGTACTATTAGCGGAAAAAGAGATTACAGAAGAGATTACAGAAAATTTTATATAATATTGATAAAATTTAGTTAATTTGGCTGCATATAGGTGCGAATCTGTTGTTTCCGATATTTTACGATCCCTGCGACATAAAGCCAACGTTCGTTCGTTTGAAATGCGAGTTCTATTCAAGATCTATTTTCTACTAAAAGCATATATCATTATTTTGTACTTTTATCTTATTCCTATACTATTGCCTTGGAAAATGCGAAATTCTTTCATAAAACTCTAGTTGTCTTCGGCTATCCTCGCTTAACAATGTTCAATATCTTTTACTTTTAGTTACCAGTATCTATAGATAACGAGGAAATAACAAATCTCGAGCTCACCACTAACATATTTCATACATTTATCACTTCTCGGATTCGACAACTGACTTCATTTAGCGATGGACATGTAGCAAAATATCTTTTACTTTTAGTTACCAGTATCTATTTTCAACTTCGCCACGAGCATTAATGCTTTTATATGAAATTGTTGGCACAAATAAATAGTAAACATATTTGATACAATTGTCGTATAATAAATTAGCCATTAATTTTAATAATTAAAGAATCTCTTATCGAAAATCTTTATAGCTTCTTCTCCTTCTTCATTATTATTATTATCATTATTCTTATTACTATAATTATTATTATTATTGTTTTCATTACTATTATTGTTATTAATAGTTGTTATTATTGTTATTATTACTCATTATTTATTATTATCAGTAATTATTAATTACATTATTACCATTTTGTCTAAGATTACATTTAGAGAGAAAACTCTATTTATATAAGATTTTTTGTATTATTTTGCAACAGGCAATATTTTTTACAAATTCACTCAACATCACCATAAATTTCAGTTAAAACAACATTTTTTTCAATAATTCAATAATAAGAGCGGCAGAATTCGCTGAATTTTTCTAGAGAATCACTTGATATAAACACAGGCAGGTCGTTAATACCAAGGCTATTCTATTTTGACTTTTGTCAGGAAACAAAAATTTGATGATAGAATTGCGGTGGAAGTAGAATGGAATTAGGGAATGGAACAGCTCAGTGGATGTTGCTTAATTCTGGGCGCTGAGCTTCTACTCCTGGGCAGGAGTATACTTGTCCAAAAACTCGGGTGATGCTG